TGATTACTTTGCTTGTCCTATTTTTAAAGCAATAGCCATTATGAACAATTGTTTAATGAACTAAATTTCTTCATAATGAACGATCTCCCTTTTAACCTTTTCACTACCACAATTCTCTACACCATGATACCTAAATTTCCCCCATTACTTTACCATAATGCTGTGACATTCGATGTATGGTAAATATTATGTAAGAATGTAACCATTCTAAGCATACAAATGCCTAGAATGTAGTAGCAAATCCTCTACAATAGGACAGTTATTGCAACAAGCACCAAAATCGCTAAAAAGCCTTCTCCAGGAGCAGGCTGTAGTGCCAGATTTATCTGGCTGTGAGATGAGTTGCCTTGCTCAAGCAAGGGTTAGATGTAGGATGCTTGTAAGGCCGCTGCTCAGGAGTGGGAGGTGTAAAGCCAAGTCTTCCTATTACCTTGTTACTCCTTAGAATCTAACCTCGAGGGACAGAGCTGTAAAGCATTATCTTCTGGACATTGTATATCACTTGGTAGCATAAGTCTCGTCCTCAATCCACCTAAATCTGTAACAGCTATGCTGTAACAAGGCATGTGGCTGCTGGTAAATGGGTCCATTTCCTACTATGAAACGATGTTAAGGGTTGCCATGAACTTGGACTGCTGGATTAGTGTTAAGGTCTCTACCATCTGTGCCCTTCAGCAATTTGCCAATATGTGCATGGCCAATCTCCGTTTCAGGAAGAAGTTTTTATCTTGTGCCATCCTTTCACTATGGTAACCCTTCAATAGATGGAGAAGGGTGCTGTGTGGTGTAGATAAGTGGTATGACGTGAGTAGAAAAGCGCACAAGTGTCGACAACTTGAAACATTCGAAGGCTTGATCTTGTTAGTGTTATATTGAACCTTGTTAACATTCAACTTGCAGATTAAGTTCTGAAAAACTTTTAGAATAAGATGTATGTTGCTGGTATGGAAGTGGTGGGCTGGCAAGTGGAAGTTAATACAAATGTGCCTGATGTCACTTCGTATATCATGATGCTTTAGTTATAGCTTGGGAGGATGATTGGTAAGTCTTGTCAAAAATACAATGGGAGTATTGATGCTAGGCACGAACGACATGGAAGGTTGTAATTGGTCTATGGTAAGGCGTGAGAGCACACGAAATTTCGGGGTGATGGCCTGAGATCTCCGTCAAGGAAGTCAGGTGATAGAACTATAGACCTAATAGTGGCCTTGGGCGGTCGCAATTAAGTGTACTGAAGTGCTCTACATCACGCCTAAAATTAGTTAACTGTTAAAATATGCCAATGCTGAAGCGGGTAAATCTTTATTAACCTTGGATAAGGTTTCTAACTGTTGATACTAGAACACAAGTTGGAGTGACGATGTTTTTACTAATATAATCTAAGGCAATAACGTAAATAGCTTGTATTCAGCTGTTAAGGGTGTTTCCGTCGAAAAAAAGCATGTGCAATATATAAGGTGTTTAACTGTTCAACTTGTGCTCTAGTTTCAATGATGGTTTTTACTAATACAAGGTAGTGATGTAAATAACTTTTATTCACCTGTTAAGGGTGGTTTTTGTTGAGAAATAAGTGTGCAATGTTTATTGCGAAACTGTAATACCCTGTAGGGGCCATCAAAGACAGAGGCTAACTTAGTCATAGAGTTTGTGGACTTTATGCTCTTAGATTAATCCACAACTTCATACTTGCTATCTTGTATTGGTTTGCTTATCACTGGACAGGGTTAGGTTTTCCTTAGCTAACTTAAAAGCTTTTTATTGTCTGATAAGTAGTCTTGCTGTAGTTGCCCTCATACTTAGGCTCTGGCTTCCCATCTAAGAGCTTATAAGGGAGTCTTGTCAGTACCGAATAACAAGGAGTGAGTGATGTGTCCAATGGAGAATAATGGCAGCTAATAGCTGATTGTACAAATAGTAAATTGTCCCCTGTCATCATGGTCAGTAACCATACTTCTCATTAAGTTTAAGATGGACATGTTCAGTCCTTCCTGAGGTCGGTATGGGAGGATATCAACCTTCTTAATGTTAATTAAGCTGCATAATTGAGGGGATACTATTACAGATTTGTTCCATTATCGCTGCTGAGGGGACTTGTATCTGAATATGATATTGGTACAGAAGGCTCTAAAACGGTGTGAGCCGAATTTGGTCTGGTATAGGAACAAGTTCACAGCATCTACTGAAGTTATTCATGAAAACTAAAATGTACTTGTTGCCCCTGAAGGTTGTTATAAATCCTGATAGGGTATCACGAAATACCTTCTGGAGGGGATCTGTTGATCCTCAGTATAATGGGCAGACATGACAACTCTTAATGTGTCGTAAAATTCTATGGTATAACCTGGGGAAATGAAATCTTGGTCCATCACGCTGAATGGCTTTGGAAACTCCAGCGTGAGCTGACTCTAATGACTCATGGGAATATCTAAGGGCGAGGGGACAAGGCACTCGGGGACTAGTAACTGTCTGTAATCTCTGTGTGCTTTCGTTTCTTCTTGGTTATGGACAATCTAAGAGAAGGTCAGACTTCTCCAGGTAATAAAAGTCCTTAACCAGAATAAGTTTTCATGGGGGTAAAGGGGTGCTGGGGTTAGCTTCTAGACTATTGACGATGTCCTTATACAAGCTATCATTTCCCTGCTTTTCTTTTAAGACATTATCCAAGGCATCCAGGGGGAGGGCAGTTTTCAGAGGACAGGGAGCACACAGGTGCCCGAGATAAGGCGTCGGCAACGTAACTGTAAGGGTCAGGGGTATACACAATTAAAAGGTTGAACTCTAGCAAGGTGTTCAAATGCCTGGCCTATCTACCGTGGGAGTCTTTGCAGGACGGGATGTGGATCAGTGGCTCATAGTCTGTTTTTACTTCTATATCGTAGCCTAGAATTAATATTTACAAAATGTTTGAGTGACTATATAATGCTTAGCAATTCCTTGTCAGATGTCAAATAACGCTTTCCGGTAATAATTAAGACTCGGCTCGTAAGAGTAATGGGATTTAGCTTCCCTTCGAATTCTTGCATAAGTGCATAGCCTATGCCAACATAGAAGCGTCAGTTGCTAGAATTAAAGATTTGGAAAAATCTGGAAATGCCAACACTGGAGACTCGGTTAACTTAGGTTTCAGGAACTGAAATATAAACTCCTGCTTCTTGGCCCAAACAAAGTCGGAGTCTCTTTTAAGTAGCCGGGAAAGAAGGCTTGCGATGGAAATAAATTGGAGTAAGAAGGGTCTGAAAAACCTGCTAAACCTAAGCTCTTAACGTGATGTTGATCCTTAAGGACAGGGAATTTTTACCTTTTTGACATTAAGGCAGAGACCTGCTGAAGTTACGGTATGACCAAGAAGTTCAAGGGAAGAGGCAAAAAAAAACGGCATTTCTGTGGGTTGATGATTCGACAACATTTTTGACAGCAGGTAAATGAGTATGTCATTGCCAACAAGACCATTCGTGACAAGGGACATTAGTCGTGCAAAACTCAGTGGGGCATTTCTTAGGCCAAAGGACATTAGTGTGAATTCCCAGTGTTAAGAATGGAGGAGAAAGCAGTTACTTTTTGAAAATTAGGCTGCATGGGTAACTGATAAAATCCTTTGCCTGAGTCGAGCCCTTGTTGTTAGTCCCGATGTCTTGTAATAACAGTCGAAGGGAGGGAATGGGAATGGGTTCAGGAATAGTCAGTTTGTTTAGGTGTCCATAGCTGATAACTGGTCTCATTCTCTTTGGTTAAAATAGTATTGGATCAGACCAGGTTCAGGTATTTGGGGTTATTATACCTTGGTCAAGTAGGTAAGCAGTAGCCTTGTCGTATGCTTAGCAACAATTATGGAGGAAGCAACTATGGAATATAAACAGGCTAAGCATCGGGAAGAGGCGAGACAAAACTTATGCATCTGGGGAAGGTTCTGCTGGAGGGGAATCATGAGGGCCTTCAATAAGGTCCTCTAAGAAAATGGCGCGACCTTTGTGTTTTGCGGGGGTCGTTTCCACGTCAAGATTTCATTATCAAGGCCTGTGTTATAGCGCTTTGCTCGGTATAGTCTTTACATTGATACCATGAGAGTCCATGGAATAGGCATACAGGAACGGTTCGGCAGTTGCAAGAAAAATTATTTGTGGCAGACAGATTTTTCAGGGATCCAGTTAGTAATAGCAGAGGGTATAATGGGAGTACACACACATACACACATACACACATACACACATGCACACACATACACACACATACACATACACACACATACACACACACACACACACACGTGTATTTATATATAAACACTTATACATATATACACACAAACACATACATATATACATGCATGCATACCTACAGACAGACACATACATACATGCATACCTACACACACGCACACACACACACACACACAAACACAAACACACACACACACACACACACACACACACACACAAACACATACATATATATACACGGACATATACATGTGTGTGTATATATATATACGTATATGTACACACACCTAAATATTTTGGGTGGGGGCGTAGATAGGAAAATTCATAGTGGGGGCGAGAAATGAAGATATCCCGACAAAAATTTGACACTAATTCTCTTTTTCGATTATCTTTAACATAACAAGGCCACTAGAACTAATCGAAACAGAAAACCATCGTTATTTTTCCGACAAGTGCAGAAATTTTCCGACAAAATGGCAGTTTAGCCTTATAGGTGGGCCCCCACCCCCGACCCCCTCTATGTACGCCACTGGTGGCATTCATCACAAATTTTCTGGCAGGTGAAATTTCTCTTCCTCTTTCACTCGGGCAGAAAATTTGCAGCCCCCCCTAAATCTTAAATGCCCCTACGCCGATGCATATATACATAGATAGATAGATACACATACATTTATATACACATGTGTGTATATATATATATATGTATATATATATATATATCCATATACATAAATATATATATGAATAGATATATGTATATATGTATATATATATATTATGTGT